TACAATATGTTGGGTTGATGGACACAGTAATTAGCACAGTAACTGATTAATGATGGACAACACAGGTTAAACTCAGCAGTCCATGTAATTGTCCTTGCAATGTTGTTGTAGCACGAGTTCTCTCCGTTTTCTTTATCATCTCTCCTTTGTCTCTCTCTTTCAGTTCAACTCAAACTGTTTGAGGAAACCGACTGCCCCAAACCGTTTAAGTTTATGCACTCAAACAATTTAAGCATGAAAGATATTTGATTTGAGTAGAAGTAACTCAAATATTTATTGTTACGGTAACTTAGTTACGTAATTTACATTAATTGTACAAATTCCATTCAGTAAATTAATGTTACGCTCGTATGCAGCATTTCTCCAAAGTTATTTAAAAGTTGTTAACATAATTTATCTAAGTAAAGTAACTTAAATGCATCTTCTTTATCGAAATTTACAAAGTTTTCTTCCATTAAAGCAAATAATCACATTATCTCAAACAGCTGACGTATGATAAAAACTATATATTATTAATTATCAAAATGTTTTTTTTTATGTGACTAATATCAAATCTTTACACTTTAAGATCACTTTATTACTTTAAACTTTAAGGGGTCATTAAGATTTATTTGGATGTCTTCTTGGACTCATGATGAAACTGAAATAAAAACCAAATTGGAAAATCCTACATTATACATCATTATAATGCTTACATTTGTATAATGATCTAATATCAACTTCAAGAAAATTGGTCAGTGCCTGTAAAAAAACAGTATTAGGGCCACCATGAAAACCAAGAACAAAGCATGACAAAAAGCTAATTTCATCACAATTTTGAGAATTGAGTCATACTTTTTTAAAATTATATTTAAGGGGGGAAAAAACTATTACGTCCGTATACAAGCGAACAGGAGTGGGCAATGAGTCATGTGTCAAATGAGGAATGTGGAAGATTCGAAGTTATATGGAAATATTACATGAAAAGTAAATAACTATTCTTATCATTATAATATTACGTAGCACGGTATCTGTTCTCAAGTAGTACAAGATCCATGTCCCACTATCCTGAATATCATAACCAGACATGTTTTGAAGCACTGGTTGGAGGCACAGAGGCGTTAACGGCGTAATAAAAAGGTCAAAGCCTGAACTGCATAGTCCTTTGTCTCCACTCCACTGTCTCATTCTTATTGTTGATCATTTGTCTTTGTGAGTAGCACAATATTACAACTTTATCCTGAAATATAACTGTTTTTCTCAAAATGATAACTTCATTTACACAACAGTATAATTTGTTTCCTCAAGAAGTTATGATTTAATCCTTCTTTCCTTTTATCAGTGACCCAAATACTACATCATGTCAATGCTAAAACTGCTAAAAGCTTCATCTGTTAGTAGGTAAGCTTTTCTCTGAGCCACAGCCACCCTTTAAACACCCATACTACTCATTCTCCCAATCAATCTTGTATTTTTGTCTCTGTCATTTTGACAATTTGGTTGAAATGGATGTAAAACATATTAGTGCCTATCAACATGCAACAATGTTTGATCCTGCATCCAGTTCAGAGTGGGTATAAAAGCAGTTTTAGAGCACTATAGTTGGACTTTTGCATGAGCTACTGTTTAGTAAATGATCTCAAGGGATAAGTATTGATCATTGCTAGCTGGATACTGAGGTCTAATATATTATGTTGTCAAAATACAATGTATGCATACACTGCATTTTCAGAGCAACGTTCTGTTTTATTTCTTTTCTAGACAGACTAGGTAATTGATTTTTACAAAGTAAAAGGTCTGATAACTTCCAGGATTAGCATTTCTTTTTAAAAGCTGATGTTTTCACTCTTAACTTCTATCCTGTGAATAGTTTATACTTTTATTTTTCACAGGAACTTGACTGCACTTGACAAGCAGCAGTGAAATACTGTTTTGCATTCATGGATTGGCATCAAGGGTTACATAGGTCACTGCTATGTGCTGTCAGAAATAATAATGTTAGTGAAATGTATGACTGTATTAGTATTACTGACATATAAATATAAAAATAACTACAAACTAACACATATAAAACCGGCATTAAACAGTGTGTGTGTGGAGTTGAACCCACCTTAACCTCAATGTGGGGAAAAGGTTAGATTGAGAAAAGGAATGAGTAGATGGGAAAGGAGAGAACACAATGGAAAGAAAGACTGGGGCAAAGAGAAAATTAAACCAAAAAAGGAAAAGGGTGTGTGTGTATATGTTTGTGTTACTGAGACAATGTGTGTGTGTTTGTCAGTGTGATGGCATGGCTGACTGACTGGCCCACTGAGGCTGGAAGAGATGAATGAAAGGTCAGGAGATGTCAGGCAGAGCTGAGACACACACACACACACACACACACACACACACACACACAAACAAACACACACCCCACAGAGTCCTTCTCAACCCTGTGACTGAATATGGATCAGAGATTCTCACTGTGCTTATGAGCATGAAATAAAATGAGGCACTTTTATGATCGGGTCAGAATTTTTTCTTCGTGTTAGCGGGAACGTTTCCATAAATTACCAGCAGCCGGAAGGAGAAAACGTGTTGGAGTTCATAAGAGGCTGTCTCCACAGTAACGTGCCTTCATTTGCCAGATTGTGCCATTGTGCGACAAATCAGCTAAATGAAATCTGTTTGAGGCTTTTGTAGGATAAAGGTACCATTAGAGAGCCAGCTGATGGTGCAAATGGTGGAAATGACCTTATAGTTCTTTTTTTCAGTTATCATATATTCACTGTGTGGATGCAGACAGCGCCAATTTATTCATATTGTAGGTCACTTCAGGGTGTATTAGACAAGCAAAGTGTTCATTTGAAAACACTGTTCAAAATATTAGCTGACAGCCTTTTTTCCCAGACGGCAAGGCTAAAACTAAATAAAAAGTAGGCTAAGGAGCTTTGATAACAAAACAAAGACATAAAAACGTCACAATTCTCATAAATTATTCATAATAAAACAATAATGTCAAACAGGTGAAAGAACTCAAATACTGCCTCATTATTCCAAGACCTGCATGCACCTCTGAAAATCACACATTTTAGAACTCCTGATCTGCCTCGGTGCCCCAATCTCCCCATTGCAAATTAATGTTATGACTTAGCTAACTTTATGGCTGTGTCTCATTCCGCCTACTTGCACACTTCAAACACTTAGTTTTAAGTATATAGTGTAGATAACACAAAAAGTCAGGGCACTGAAAGTACCCGAATAACCCCCTAAAAAAGGTGAAAAAATTCAGTGTGGAATGATGGACCCTACTCGCACTGAACGGGCGCCATCTTGACTACAAAGCGGAAGGGGAGAGACCAGGGACGTTGGCAAGTTTTTCAAAATTTTAAATAATGGAGCCGGAGCTGCGACGACAAGTTCGACACCTCAAGCATATAAATGTAAGTAATGGTGGTAATACGAGACATTGTACTGTTGTCTAATGCATCACTTACATGTCCCTCACTGACTGAAGTCGACATAATTATTTAGCGAGTTGATTAGCGTTGGCGTCGGAGGCGACGTAGTTTCCACATGCTGTGAACTGAGCGGTCAATGAACGTGCAGAAAAATGTTTGTAAAAAAAAGCCGGCATATATTTTTGGCGGGCCGAAAATCGCGTTCACGTGTGTTGCATTTGTTACGTTCATCACGCTCGACATTTCCGGTAAGTGTTTTAACATAAGTGTTCCTTTTGGGACAAAACTAACCATCGAAAGTGGGCACTACGGCAGTAAGTGGTCAGTGCACATTGGCAGTGTACTGACGGAAATATGCGGCATGAGACACAGCCTATGTCTCTGCCAGCATTGTTAGCTAACTTTATGTCTCTGCCCCAGCATTGTTAGCTTATGTTAAGTCTCTTTGAGTATTGTTAGCTAACATTTTGTCCTTGCAAGTATTGTGAGCTAATGTTCTGTGTCCTGCCAGTATTATTAGCTAACATTTTGTCTCAGCCAGTATTGTTATGTTGTTGTGTGTTGCCAGTTTGTTAGCTAACGTTTTGTCTCTGCCAGTTTTGTGAGCTAATGTTGTGTTTCTCTCAGTATTGTTAATTTTACATCTCTGCTAGTATTCTTATCTAATGTTTTTGTAACAAAACAACTGGGACAAACTACAAAAACATGCAGGTCAACACCCCCGCATTTACAAAAAGGTACGCTAACTACCTTTATAATTACCATACCATTATCAAGACCCATACAGTATGTAGGAGTAATATTAAAGTCACTGTTGGTTGACATTCTTTATAAGCTATTGGTAGGAATGAGTGAAAGATTAATGTTGTCTGTCTATCATCTTAATCTTCTTCTAGATGTTAGCTTATAACTCAGTTCAGTATTTTGGCTACTACCCTTATTCTCTTTCTGGTGGAGATGAGAAGGTCAGCGCCACTCAATCAAAATCATGTGCCAAAATGAACACTGGGCAAGCCAAATGAATAAACCGACACAAAGCATATTAAGAAATCACTATGACAGACAGACAGACAATGGAGACAAAGAAATGGCCAAATAAATCAACAGACAGATAAATGGATGGATGGATGGGTGGATAGATGGAAAGCCAAAGGAGAGAATGAGCAATATTTACACTCTAAAAACAAAGGCTTTGGTTAGCCTTATTGCTACAAATGGCAAATAAGCAATCAGTAATTGGTCATTAGTTACTCAAATTTTGCGTCTATCTTAAAACTGATGCGATTTTTCAAAGATTACAACTTCTTTCTTGGCGTTGCCAGGTCACAGAGGATGCCATTCTGACTATATGCAATGATCAGTTTTCTGATCTGATACAACGCTAAAATAACAGTGGTCCTTGTTTAATAAAGCACTAAATGGGTGACAATACAAATGTGAAATGTCATGCTGCCATTAACATTAACATCTGCGTCTGATATTGGTGTCGTATAGAGAAGATGGAAGGATTCAGTGAATGAGACAAAGGTAAGATAGATAGACAGAATGAATATATGTATAAATAAATAGTTGGATTACTTTGTCATTCTTTGCTCGGCTTGATTTTGATTCCACACAAGGAATTCGGGGTCGTACCTATCGAGGGGGGACAGGCAGAGAGAAACAAGAGAGAGGTATTTGTTGGCTGTCTGGCAACAAATTATTCAATAACCGTCATATTAGTGATGATTAGTAAATAGAAGTCAGTATGTAGCCACTAGACTCGTCTTTCTCTCTCAACATTTGGTTATCAGGCAATGGTGGAGAAGGTGGGCAGGGTGAAGGACATGCACTTAGAGCGGGTGGTGGGGAGATGGTGGATATGTTGGGTAAAGAGAGGGTCTGAGGATAAAACAAACTGGGCATGGCCTTATTCTTTGCAGATGCATGCACCGAACTGGATGTTTAGGGCATGGCTGCTGCATAGTGGAGCATTTTATTTTAGAGCCAATTATCAGAGTACTTTATGACAGCGAGCTGAAAATCAGGTTTCAAACGACCAAGGTTCACCTGTAAGACCTTACTTCAACATCCTAATTAAACCTAGATTATTTTAGAATGGCATATGGTATATATAAACATTGCTATTCTCTCATATATGAAATCATGTTGGCCTGTTAGTCAACTTAGCTGTTGAATGATAACAAAGATGACAAAATCTTTCATGTTTCATTTATTGAATTTTCTGTGTGCTTTATCTCAGAAAAGCAGGACTTACCAGACAAGCTAAATGGTGAGTAAATGACAAGCTAAGCTGCTAAGCCTGTTATGTGTAGGTTAGTTTAAGACAAGACACAAAATACCTACATTATTTTTAGCAACTACTTTTTCCTGCATTAACTGAGGTGGTGGCACATGATGAATAAACGGCGGCTCACCTGAAGATGTTTAAATAAATATCAGTTCATCTTTTATACTCAGAAGATCACTTCAGTTTTCTTAATATGCTAGTTCCCTAAATCTTCATTCACAGGATATGTATTCATGATGCCTAAATAAAGTATGTAGGAATAATCCAATGTGAATGTTTGTGGTGTTAGCACTTAACAGCTACTTTGGCCAATTTGCCAATATCAGAAAAAACTGGGCGTGTTAATGTGTTAAAAGAATAAGGCTGGTGATATTCTGTATTTTTTGTTGTTGTCAACAAATCCAGTGACAAGACCAAATCCAACAATGAATTGATCCTAAACAAGTTATATATATTATTCTATTCTGTTGTTCTCCACACTTACACTGGGTGATAAGTTCCTTCATTATGATGAACACTGGCGCTGTAGTTTACCTCAATCCCAAGTACACCATCCTGGTATGGTAAATACCCTTAAGAAAAATTCTGATTAATCCACAGCTGAAATGGTCCCTATCAAATGCAATATTGCCACTTTAGGTAAAAACTAGTGACCAGTTGTTTTAAGATATTACTGAGCCTTTTTTTTTTAAACAAAACTGTACATCTGGACCTGTTTTTACATATGTCTTCAGCAGGAAAAAATAGACTTTAGGCTAAGTGCCAAAGATTCGAATGGAAGCCGTAAATTGTTGAGAAATGGACTAACACATTGTTGGTTTTGGTCTCTTTATGGGATTTGTTGACACAAATTTTAAAGCTGCAGTAGGTGACTTTTATGACAATGACCTTTTGTCATATTTGCTGAAACATTGACTATTTCCTGACAGTAGTACATGAGACAGATAATGTGTGAAAAAAATCTGGTTCCTCTGGCTCCTCCTAGTGCTCCTAATGGCATTAGGTTGCTTAGGGTTGGTGGAGGCTTTGGGACCCAAAGCATCGGCAACCTGGGAATGAGAAAATCCAACAATCTTTCTTGGCTCTGATTGGTTGTTTTCATTCAGGCGTGGTGGATTTTTTTCCCCCTCATGTACTACTGTCAGGATATAGAAACAGCTTTTAAAAAAATATGACAAAGTTATTTTAATAAAAGTTACCTACTACAGCTTTAAATAATATAATATAATAAATATTATTTAATATATAATAAAATGCTTTTTCCTCTTTGAGCTGCAAGAACAGCAGCAGTGCAGCAAACTTGTACACAGTATAACTTGACAACTGCAGGATCACAATGTTCCTGTACAGTCATTATCTTTGGGGACCCTCCCTTTACGCAATGTGGACAACAAGCTACTCAATTAGCACTGTCTCATATAGACAGTGCTAGCACTGACTGTGCATGTTGTGAAGGTAAAGCAAAATGCCATGCAGCACAGGTCAGTCCTTTACATGTAGCGGTGCAGATGTGTGGATGCTGGAAGCTACACAACAATGATGCCGGAGCTATAGATTGAACAAACAGACAATGTGAGTGCAATGTGCAAAGAGAAATAAACACTTGGACAATGGGTGGAGGAAAGAGCGATGGCAACGACAACAACAGGAGTCACTTATCCTAACGGCACAGAAAAGCACTCTTCTGTTTCCAAATGTTACCATAAAATAAGCAGTTCAGCACAAAGTGACTTCCTCATTAAAAGTATTAAATTTGAGCATAAATATATATCTCCTGCTTACACCTGAGCTGAAATGTCACAAAGAGAGACACTTCAACTTTAATTAGGCTGCTTCTATCTGTGACAGCATGTCTGTGCAGTCATTAGTCAAAAGCAGAGGCTAGGACGAAACGAAAAAAAAAACCAAGACACAACTGGTATAGTATTTCAAACCTGATTGTAACTAGGACAAAAGAATGATAAAAACAGCTATTACGCTGTCTCTGCATGTGTCTGTCTCTCTTTCTCTTTTCTTGTCTATCTGTCACTGTGTCTCTCTCCCTCATTCTCACACACCCACGCTCGTACACAGAGCTCTCTTGCTCTAAAAGCAGACTTCATGCACTTTCCAGATGAACTGTGTCTGCCTACTGCACAGAATTGTCACTGACAGAGAGGCACTCCACTCCTAACAGCGATAGCAAACTTTTAAATTGGACCTAGAGGTGCGCGCAGGCATTCATACGGCAGTGTGAACAAGCCCCAACACCAGGCAAACTAGAGAGGACAGTGAAAGATGTAGCGTGATGTGTGCCTCATACTAAAGCCCAGATTCAGCCAGCCTTTTAGTGCAGTGGACCGTCAAATCCTGACGGTCAATTATCTGTTGAGGTGCTACAAACTGTTAGGTGTCACTGTGTTACACATCCAACTTTGACACTCTTTTGTGGATTGCAATCAAACTCTTTTTCACTTTTATAACTTAATGTCTTCAGGTTATTGATATTGTTTACACCTTCTTGTATAATTATGTTTAATTTGGTGAATCTGGCCCTCAGTAGGTTCAGTGAAAGTGGAAAGGGAGCAGAACAAAGGGCTTCATCAACAAGCCAGAGCTGATTCTAAATAAAAATTTGTTGCTTTTCCTCACCTTGGGTCCTTCTGGATACTGTCCACTGATGGAGATCGGCCAAGGGCGGCCTCAGGGGGGAGGGCGGGGCCCGACTTGCTGTAAGGCGACTCGGTGGATGGGCAGAACTGCAGAGTGCGGTACGGGTTGGCATAGTCAGCCGCCCCGCCTCCTGTGGCAAAGCTGCCTCTCTGAAAGGTGGCTGTGGCACTCTGGCTTCCCGTTCGCTGCAAGGGGATTGGGTCGACACCGGGGGAAGGCGGGGCTAAAGTGGGTAGAGGAGCGTAGGGAAAGAGCAGATAGTTGAGGACCTCTTGGTACAACTGGTTCACCACTGGGTTTGATGCAGCCGAGGAGGGGCAGGGAGCGGGCAAAGAAAAAATTGAAACCAAACACAGGGCCAACACGAGGATTCACATACACACAGTGAGAAGAACACAACACCAGCACCGATGGAACAAAACGGCACAGAAGAAAAAAGCAGAAAGGACAGAAGCAAAAAAAAAGTTATGAAATAAAACACTCAAACGCAAATTAATATGACAAACTGCAGAGACAACTCAACGAGGGGGAAACTACAGGTGAAAAGGTGAACTCAGCAAATGATTTTTCTTTTGAAAAATATCACAAAAAAACAGACAGAAACAGTCAAATCAAATAGTCGTGCAAAAAATAATAAAGAACAATAAACTCCATAGGTCACACATAAAACTCACAGGCACCTGTAAAAGGTTCTTTTCAAGATGACAATTAAAAAACAAGCGCAGATTAACATGCTAGGAGGGACCGGGGCAAAAATGGGCTGTGAGCTAAACTGAGTTAAGTTGAATTAACTTGAAATTGATAAAACATACATATTTCCATTACGTTAATGACAAACGATTATTTGATTCCACTTGGCTAAGCTACCACAAAAGCTTAATATTTAGCATACAGACATGAGAGTGGTATTAATCATCTCCTCCAACTCTCAACAACTTATTATATTTTTTGTTTATATTGTTTTAGTTTGTTCCCAAACATATTTACATTTAATCAAATTCCTGCACTAATTGCCACACAGTGAGGGTTTGGGGCACCAAAGAGCTATTTTTATCTACATAGGAAGCGGGTCCTCTGGTACAGAGTCCGCCATGTTGAACCACCATGTTTCAACATTGGCCACTGTGGATTCTCCTACATACTTGGAAAGTGAGGGTGAGGTGAGGGGGTGGTAATCTGCAACTACACAACTAAATCCTACACACTGGACCTTCAAGACATTAGGACACCATAACAGCTTCACCACAGCAGCAAACCTCCTCTCTCGGTCTCAAACAGAGAGAGGAATTGTCTTCTCGTTGGACAACAGTTCAGACACCATGTGGGCATGATAGTCAGCACGGTTATACACCGGCTCGCTCTCAGGGAGGTGAGCTGGGTCAGTCTGTGTGTGTATCTGTGTGTACGTTACTACTACAAAACTGCAGGAATCTTGACAAGGCTCGAGGAAATTCACCTGAGATGTGAAGTCGGGTGTAAAGTGTTGTCTGCTTGTTTCCAGCTCTGTTATCTTGAAACTATTTGAACTGACCCTGAAACATAGTCAGGCTTCAACAGCTGCTTTGTGTTGCACAGAAAACAGCAGATCTTAAGTCAATATGAAAAAAAAAACAAGCTTTGACAATGAGAGTGCCTCTGTCGTGACTTACATTCACAAGCACAATGAGGATTGAGTTATTTTGATGCATCAAAGTGACCTATCAGTGTGTACAGGGAGCCAACATTTTGTATTAGTGTGAATCTTTCTTTTTTGGAACAAAACCTTTTGGAAAAATGGTGAGATTTTCTTTCATATTCCTCTCTCTGTGTATTTCTCTATACAGCAACATTCACCGTTCAGGCGACCAAACTGCCGGCACAGCGTCGACAACATTTTAGGACACGGTTGATTTGCTTTGATTTCAAAGCACCCAAGCTAACGCCCATGGGATTAATTGAGATTAATTTTCAGCCTCGAAACTAATTAGTTAACAGACTGTGACTGAGAGACAAATTGCCATTGAGACCCCAATTGGATTTGCCTACCTGATCTGGTAAATAGTGCTACATGATCAGATGGGACGAGGAAATCTCTTATGTACAGCAGCCTTTAATATAACACGGCACCATTAAAAACACCTATCTACTAAGTTGGACCAGGCTGTGTCTTTTCTGCTCTCTCAGTATTGGTTTGATGTCACTTTATTCAGTGTATCATGTGATGTCCACTTTATTTTTAGATTTTAATGGTTCAGTGGGTGATTTACAGCACACTGCAGCTATTTATAATTTTGTACTATTTTAGGCTAATTTCTGTGTTTACAGTCTCACTCCAATATATTTTATGATTCTTCTTCCTTTCCCCTCTTCTTTCTACCTCTTCGGTACCACTTACAATTAATGGCTTTATTAATGGTTAATAAGTAATTCACTAATGCTTTATTGTTCAGTTCTAAGCAATTTGGGTCGCTAGGTAAGAACATGCTTTTGGCTCGTATTCATTCTCCTCTTAAAGGGTACTCCAGTTATTTGCTGCTGCATTTCAACAAAGTTAGGAATCTTCAAACTAGAAGCAGCACAGATCAAGATATTAGAGTTTTAGTCCCAAGCACCAACAACGTTCCTACATTTCCCATAATGCTCAAACTCAACGTTATTAATTTCCCCTGCTTGGTAAATGCCAAAATCTTTCAAACTCTATGTGCCAGTTTGTTAAATAGGTTAGTTAAAAAAAACAAACTGAGATAACCCTTTATCAATGAATTCCAATGAAACGTTACCGTATGACTTCATTGCAATGTTTTTTAATGAGAACCCAATACGTTTTTGCATCTTCTAATAACCCAACAGTTTATCTTATTAACTGTTGATATATATTAATAATTATTTATTAATCATTAAGAATCAATATCAATAACAACTTATCACGCCTTTTTTGGGGTGACTTCAAGCGGTACCTCTTTTCCCAACTCATTTCCATCTTGTTCTTAAAACCTTCTTCTTACCATGTGTTAACTCCCAAACCTCCATAAACTCTGGCGTGATGTCATGTTTCAGCTTACCTTGTCCTCTAAGGTTGGGTTTGGTGTAGACTCTGTCTTCGTAGATTGGGTCGATGTGGTGTTCAGGAGACTGCAGAGGTCGGAGCTCAGAGCCCAGGTGACTGTGCTGGCTGCTGTAGGAACCTCTGGAGCCTGGAAAACAGGGAATATGGAGGTTACATATACTGACAGATGGATAGGTAGGTGGATGAGTGAATGAATAGTTGGATGGTTAACTAGAATTCCTGGGGATGTCAATAAGTGAGAGAAAAATTATGATAATGATGGTAAAGTACAGTGCACACAGCCAAATAGGTTAATATCTGGGCCTACACCGGAAGCTGTTTTAAATACTCTAGATTGCTTCATTTTTGTGTTAAATTGTCTTCTATTGTTATTTATACTCCATATACATATATTCATCTATTAATAACATAACATAATATTTTAGCTATGTACCTAAAATAATCAAATATGAAAGCATTCAAAAGAGAAAAAGAGCAGAGCACGGAATAATCTGTTCATATTTGAATACACCCGTACTAGCTGCTCCATTAGCTATGTATGTTCCACACTGTCTCCGACACCCAATAACCAACCAGTGCTCCTAAACTGGAACGCTATCAGGAGAAAGCACCATGTGGGTACAATATAAACTGAAATAATAAATGTGGTGGAGCTAGATTTGACGCAGGGCCACAACATGTGTAATAATGCAGGACCCAGTTGATATTGTACTTAAGTGGTGCAAATTAGAAAGTAATCAAATTATAAATATTATAGTTTGAATTGTTCACCTCTAAATTACAGTAACACAGATGCATTATAGCCCACACTCTGCACTTTAAACGAGTTTTTAGGGTCCTTAGTGGAGACAATGAATCTCATTCATGAATTGTTAATGAATACATTTGCAGTCTAAAACATTTAAGCCAAAACCTCAAACCTATTTAATAAAATATTTCCTAATATGTGTTTTCTTCCCAGTCCTTGTTCTGAATACCAATTACACATGAATGAAAGTGGGTTTGAAAGTGGGTTTGTGTGACCTTAGCTATCATGAACAAACATAATAGAACTGCCTCGGAAATATTGGGCCCTGAAGAAACCCCATAATTCATAATCTTGCAGACTAAATGGTCATAAAAATAATTTAAAATATGAATTTAAATTAAACAGAAAGTGAGGTTGTACTAAGTGCTGTTTAAAAAGAATCCAGAAATTGCACAAGTAATAAGAATAAGTAATAATGTTACTGTATGGCAGATGCATGTCAGTTTGGTTCTAGTGTAAGAACCAAAAGACAAAAAGCTACAACTTATTTACTAACAAATTGGTGAAATTTAAACCCAATGGCTAGAGATGACTAAGTATATTTAAAATAAATGTTAAATGGACAATCGATGAAACACAATTCACACATCCATGCATAAAAAAGTAATCATAAATTTGTCTTGACCTCTACCCGCCAGGCTACCAGGCCTTTGCAGGGTTGCGTTGGCATACAGCTCGTGGGAAATCTTGTAGCTGTCTGGTCCGATGTGATGCAGCATACGCTTGGTGGGCGACAGGGTGGCGTAGCTGCCCACCACCGAGCTCAGCTGGTGGATGGGCGACGAGGTGTGGTTTCCCCCTGGGGAGGCTACCATGGCGATAGGGGAGGAGGAGCCAGCACCCGATGCAACCATGTTGATGGGCGATGATGTGCTGCAGGAAGAGGAAATGGAACAGTTTGGTTTGTCTTGATTAAAACTATATGACCAACCCAAGAATCTATGTTTTTTATGGCTGCACTATTCCATCAAATACATGTATTACAGATTGATTGATTGATTTATTGATTGATTGGGTTATAGTCTTGTGCATAATGTTTGCACACATTCGCCCTAAATTCAGCCTGACATAGAATATAGTATAGAATATAGACGTAGACATAGTTTGGTATCTTTGGAAATTTTGGGATTTCCACAAAAAATTTAAATAAAGCTCTGTGGGTTTGAATAACATTTGGCTACACAGCATGAGCTTGTGATGACTGGCCCACCAGCAATCTGCTACTTTATTAGGGGTGCAACACTGTATGTCTTTTTCAATATGCAGTCAAATTTGTGCCTCAGGAGCTTCATCAAAGACCATTACGGTAGTGCCTTTAATCGTCTTTTGGCAGATCAGTTGCAGAAAAAGACTATCTTTGAAACATTTCCAAATCATCACCCAAAAATGTGTGAGCCCAGCGCATTCAGCCAAAATCCAAGCTATTAGAAGAGTGGTATAGGGACAGAGATTTATACAGAGACCAGCTATAGGTTGTACTTCATTTACATAGTACTCAAACATTTGCAGTACATCTGTTGTACTGCTTGTTGCAGTGCTACTTGAGTTGGTTTAAGCATTCCTTTCATGCTGAGGCATGATGTAAAACTATACCTAAGCATTGGCACTGGACTTTGACATGCAGGGAGATTTTTGCTGTGAAACAGACTACCAGTGTTTTTCAGAAGCCAGAACTCTCAGCACAAGGTGAAGTAACTGTTGAGTCATTGCTATTGATCAACAACCGCATCGACCCTGTGCAGATGTATTCTTTTGTGCTCTGGGAGCAGTAAAATTCTTACATAATGTGCTCCTTATTAAAGACTGAAGTTGAACCCACCTGTAGGACTTGGCGAGTCGGCTGGGTGACTGTTTGGGCGAGGACACCCTCTGTAGCGTGGCGTAGCTGGGCATGTCAGAGGACGCTGATCCCAGGCGCTGGAGCTTGGTAGGGGATCCTACCGCCTGCAGAGGGGAGCTCACCCGCTGCAATAGAAGAGTTGGACTCCATTAAAGGGGAATGTCACTCACTTTAAATATTCATCTACTCCTCTTATTCATATCATTATTTTCAGAGAAATGAACAACTCCCCCCGGAGCTGGAAAGCCAGAGAGCAGTGACTCTAATCTGTGATAACATCCTGATGAAGAGCTTGGAGTTATCAGACCAAACATGAAGGGATGACTGTGAACTTTTATAACCAAATGAACTTGTGACTGCGAGCAATAGGCCGCCAAATGAAGTTCCCTCAGAATTCTAAACATGCATTTTCAATTTGTTCCAACTGGGGAAATAAGTTGAGGAAATATTTGCGAGGTCTTGCAGTTACAGAGCTAAAGATATAATTTTAAACACTCCATTAACTTAGATGAGCGTGGTCAAGACATGCTGAAGTGAGGATGCTGCCAATTTCTGATACGGCGGAACAGTGCCGGTAAATCTGTTTAAATGAATTCAAAGACATATTCAATTCAACACAGCGTTCTTAAAATCTTAAACTCTGAGCCCAGAATTCATCGCAGTGCAGCAAAATGAGCAATAAAAGAGAAAATCACCTAAGAGGCCGGAATTTAATACAAATTTGCTGAATTGACCCTACCAGAGAAACTGCCTGTTCTAATAATAATAACAGTAATAATATCTAATTAACCCATTGTACTAATTGCAAGAAATCGCAACAACGACAGCAGTAATTTAGGTTAGATGAAGAGTCAGCACAGTTTGGCTACCACAGCAGTACACACTGAGGTAGCCTGTGTATAAAGCACTCAATATCGGCCACAAATTGAAATAATACTTTGGAGGTGAAGTAGTTCACCCAAAAGAGTGGTGTAACCCTCAGCAAGCCAAGACTAACATGTGAGAGTTTACTCTGTTTGGTCAGTATACAATATTCTTGCAGGATTTGTTTAATGGTTCACAGATTTTAACACCTGTCACCAAAGCGCACCAAATATTTTTGAAAATCTTAGCAGGATGTGTCAAATAGTGACAGCTAATTTAACAGAGATTTGGTGGACCGTTCTGCTAAATCTGCTGGTTAATGGCTGATTAATGGGATTCCTCCATTGATGATTTTTTTGCGTTAGCCCTAACTGCCATGTTGCATTTGTGTGTGGATAGGAAATTCTTCAGTCTGGGACATGACTTTCCTTTTAAGCCAGGGACATCTCCAAAACAAAATGGTTTCCAGATACTGCACTGTATCTGCATACTGCACGCATGGTGCCTTTGTAGTTTGGTTATTTGCAGAGGATCACAGGTGGCAATTAAATTCACCTCATTTTAAAGGCTGTGATCCCACCGGGAAGTGGCACAGTGAAGTTCAGCCCTGTGTCTGCCTTGGTGATGGAGGGACTACTTTACTTCACTACTGCTAGCTAGCTAGCTTTCTAACTGATGGTTAGGAAGCTTGTTAGCTCACTCTCTTACTTACAAAAAGTTCACACAGCTTATTCAGGAGATGTATTTGCACCATCGCCTCCTGTCTAATAACTTTCTAAAAACCATTAACTACCGAAATTGAGCGCAAAGGATTTAGACTACTGCACCCTCACAAGCAAATCCACACAAAAAAGACTTCTTCCTCTACTTTAGCTCTGAATTTCAGCTGGAAGTAGCACTTTTAGCCATTCATTGGTGAACCGTCATACTGAGCGCACAGATGAACAGCGGAGAAGTGGTTTATTATGTGGAGAGACGTTTTCAATAGATGTTTTGATGCTTATTCTGCCAAGGTTCGCCATTGGACTCCATTGTACTTGTTGTGAATCCAAGATATACATAGCTGCCAACCTCTGCAAAGGAGGAGAGTGCAAACTTTACAGAGCCAACTTTCAAGCCCACAGGGGTCAGTATTTGTTACTCAGGAGATAGATTTTCAGTAAAACATTCCCATGATGTAAAAGGAATAATACGATCAATACAACAGGCACTTAGTAACTGTAAAACTCTTTGGTTCCAAGGGGTTATAGCAGTGTCAAGGCTTCCACCAATAATGTGCCACTGAGAGGAGCAGAGAAAGTATCCGTCAGACGACAAGTGAAGCATCGCAGTAATCTCTTCAGGGATTTCTACCTGTGCAGGCAAAGTGGCACAGGAGTAATACATGGGTGGTCCAGCAGGTGCAGGTCCTCCCTCAGTGGGCATGTGGAAGGCGCTGCCATGGGCCTGCTGGGCAAATGAGTCTCTCTGGGACTGGGAGGGAGAGTCTGATCCCACTAACTGGGCAGCTGCACGGCTGGATGTCACCTGGAGAGGGCAGAGCGAGAAGAAAGGTGAGACATGGAAAGGAAGATGGGGAGAGGATATAGGAAAGAGAAGGAGGAGAAACAGGAGAGTGGACAAAGGACGTACAAATAAATGGGGGTGGGGAGAGTGAAGAGATCAGGAGAACACAGAACGGGATGGGAGACGAGAAAAGAAGAAGAGTAGAAAGTAAGGAAGGATAAAGAAGCAGAGGGATGGAGAAAGAAATGAAGTAGGGAAGTGGACAGAATAAAAGGTGTATGTGTTTACCTGGTTGTAGATGTGAACAGCCCCTCCAACCTGCCCGCTGCGGCCCGTGACTGACTCCCCAAGTGCCAGCCCTTGGTTACTATGGTAACCAGCTGCTGCATAGGCATCCTGGTTGTTGAGCTGCAAAGCGCTTTGAGACAGAAGTCCTTGTCCTGGTGGAAAAAAAGAAGAGAAGAATTAGCAGAGTACTAAAGGGCAATGAGAAACATTAAGCCTCTGCTGTGAAGAAATATTTGTTGGCTAGACACAAGTGTTGGGTCTTTTATCTGAATTCAATCAATTCTGCCTTTTCTGTGAGAGAACAGGCTTTGGAGAAAGTAAAATGAGGTGTCGTGGTTTGAAACTAACTTTTTGATCCCTGTCAAAAGCCACCATAAGACTTGGTTTCACTTCTGTCATGCTGCTTTTATGTAACTGTTTCCAGACGACTTTTACTTCTGTAACAGTCCATCTTTGTGTAAAGATTTATTCTGTTCGTGGCCTTGAAGGCGTTTTGTAACCCAGTTTACGTCCCACATGTTATACAAGGTATTTCTTTTTCGTGGGAAAAGAGTGAATGTGAACACAACAAATATTTCAGTTTGCAGCAGACCTTGAAATGAAGAGACGGAGAGAGAAGAAAAGGGAACAGAAGCTGAAATAGAATAAATTCGAGACACCCATTTGCTTTTTACCCACTATGTTATTCCAGCCCCTTTCCACTCTTTTCCTCTCATGCTCTGTGACCCTTAAATCTCACTCTGTTGCTGACCTCCATTTAAAACACACTCCTTCTCTGTCTTCTCTATCACCTCCTTTGTCGTGCTCTCATACCTCTCTTTCTCTTCTGCATTCCTCTGTACAATCCAGCACAGGAGGAGCAGCGAGTGACATCCAAGTGTTTCTTTCACAAAACTCAATCATTCATGCATTGAAATAATTGAACAACTCTTTTTTTCTCTTAAGAGTGTAATTTGTGCCTTCATACATAATTAATAACTAAAGTGCAGTTTAGTTTAAAAAAACCCTTTCTTGCCGAGGGTTAAGACAATCAATGTCATACGTGTTTGTTACTGTAAATATGAAGCTACAGCCAGGAGTTGTTAAGCTTAGCTTAGCATAAAGGCTGGAAGTAGCTAAGAAAAAGCTAAGTTGGTGCTCTTCTAGAAATACACGCCGATCACACAGAGACGCACTGGTACAGGCGTGGGTGCTTCAAAAACACTTTGGCAAAGAGTGTCAGCTTGTGTGCCTGTTGAGCAAAGTGTGACATTGACGGGCGGTGCGACTCCGTGGCTTGTGCTGAAAAGTTGAACATATTTTTAACTTTCATGCACAGCTAAAATACCAGAAAAAGACAACGAGCGGCGCAAAAGAGAAGCGCACACTCTGTTGTGATCCATTCCCGCTCTATATGAAACCAATGGTTTTGCAGGCGACATGTGTCTAGCAATTTGCCCCTGCGTGATTGCCCCTTAAAGGTCACTGGTTAACATGTTGTGTCTTATTTGTGGAATTGTTACAGTTAGTTATGTGCTGGAACTATGTTGTTGACAAGTTGCCACTTGTAGTGTTTTATTTTTTGAATTATTTCCCAAAATGTCAAACTGCTCCTTTAAACCACCCGTGTATCTTTGAGGAACTTTAATGGTGTAGTTCTCTTTCTATGAGCATAGCTGCTGTAGTCACACCAGGATTTTTGACAGTGAAATTTCTGATTGAATTAGTCAATTACCTTGACACAGCAGAGTGATCAGCTTTCATAGCCAGAGACTTCACATTAGAGATAGTGCTGACCTTTGAGAGAACCAGAGAGTTAAAACTAGAGGCAGCTAACATATTAACTGTGTCTAAAATAAGATTTGATTTAACCCTGCTCTGACAGAACATAATCTACTACATAAAAGAGTAGGGTTTTTCCAGGAACGTTGTAGTTCACAGTTGGCATCATAAAGTCAGCAGGGGCCCCTCAATTAACTGTTAGCTTACTGATTGTCTGATAGAGACCCAGAACCTTGTAGTTACCAAGCTACCACCTATTTGAAAAGAACATGTGAATAAATGCTAATCTCATCCTTCAACATACCTTTAACTAAACAGAGATATAAAGCAGGAGTTCATCTCACTTTGGGTTTGTAAGAAATATAAATACAAAGCCAGCCAACTACTCCTTTAGAGATATACTGTATACATTTATCATGTTTTTCTCATTTTGTGAAGCATTACCAATGACTGAGCTTAGACCCTGGCTCATTACACATCTTCTACACTTTGTAATGTCATCTGTCAACTGCAGTAAAAATTCAAATGAGAGAATCACTCATACACCGCTGTGTAACACCTTCCAGTGGAGCAGTTTTTTATTACCACAACTCTTACTCTTCCACTTCCACATTCAGGCTTCCATCCAAAATCTACCAAAGATCAGTCGGCCAGACTCCAGCTGGCCGATCTTACAGTGAGCTACTGTTGAGCTAGCAGCTGGTCAGCCATCAAATCAGTCAGTTAGTGAATGGTATCTTTCCAGTTTATGAATCGGTAACATCAAATGAACTCTTTTCTAATCAGATGTCTTGGATGTCTCAGAGTCAACTTGTGAAAGTGTGTGTAACTCTCATGAAACTCTGCAAATGTTACTACCGTAAAACTTCTAATAATAGCCCGGGCGTTTATTTGCTTAAATCACTGAACCCCCCCTGCCTTTATTTGGGAGGGGCGTTTATTTGGGACAGGCGTTTAATTCCTTTAGCACAAAACTAAACTAAACTGACTGCAGCTTCTCTTGAGATTTGTTTAGCAAATTTGACAACTAACATGATTATTCTGATTGCTTCAGAGGTTTTTTTCCTTCTCTCTTGTTTACCATGTTACCAGTAATTCAGAATGAATTAATGTTACACTTTGTTGTTGATCGTTTTTCGTAAAATATAGTGAAAGATTGAATTTTGGAGAATCTATAACTGATCTAATGATGTGCAGCATGTACATATTGACAGAAGTTTAAACATTTATATTTGTGTAGGAGATTGAATCGACTTAAAACCCGCTTAAGCGGGCAACCCGTGGGTTTTAAGAGGTTTTATACATTGAGATAATTTCTATAAAATCGAGACCAGGCCTCTATTGGAGACCTGCGTTTATTAGTCAAAATGTGTAGCCACACCAGGCTTTTAAAAGAGACCTGTGTCTATTAGGGACCCTGCTTTTATTGGAAGTTTTAAGGTATCTCACTTTGTGGTAACAAAACTATGACACACACATACATACTCACATACTGCCAAAGCATAGTGTGATAATATGCTTCATTGCTAATGTTACAAACAGCCTCATACATGTTTCTGAGGCATTTGCAGTCATTTGTACATGGATCGTTACATTTGGAGTGCAAACATGCAAACACGCATGGACTGTGACACAAAACACAGACAGGCTACGTGTAAACGACAGCACGCGGGCTTGAAACATAATGTCAGCAGCATTTATAGAACGTTTTGTAGACTGTAAACATGTGGATTTGCCTGGATGGCCCATAAAGTTTGAAGTGAACTTAATTGAATCATTTGAGGAGGAGGACAGGAGGGCAGGAGCTGCTTGTGCAAGAGCCAAAACTCTCCCGTGCCTCTTGTTAAAATCCTAATAAATATTTTGATGCACTCTTGATTAATTTGCTTTTGGTGATGATAGCAATGATGTGCCTCATCAACAAATTTAATCACAGAAATAAAAACTAATTTTTACCCAAAATGTTACTTAAAAAATCATTTCCCCCTGTAGCATTTTGCTACAGTGTACTCCAGCTACAGTACTTTTACAACTGCTGCACTGGAAAATAACTTCTGCTTTATATCAGCTGTGTATAAGTAGACCTATAAATTCCTAGCACTCAGTATTTGCAGGAGCTGTTGAGCTGTCCTCCATCAACAGTGACCGTCCCTTTAATCTCCCACTGACGCCACTTTTCTGCCAGCAGTCTTTGAATCAAAGCACATGAGACAAGAAGAAATGCTGCTTGTTTGTGATTATTCAACAAAAGAGAATGAAGAATCACAGCGTGCCCGCGGTCAACATCAACTGCACGGGACGGATAAAGTCAGCAGCTAACGGCAAATGGAGTCGCTCTGGATAAGCGTGTTGGAAAATCAGGCTTGAGCAAAGTGAAAAGTCACTTAAAAGTACAGCGAATGGCTCCTGTAGGCAGTGTAGCTGCCGATTGTGCATTATTTAAAATGTGATATTAAGCTAAGGGTGCTGGGTGAGTTTACTAGGTCAAGGCCTCCGTGTCCATCTTGGCGCACTCAGATGCACACACAGGCAGGCAAGAACACATAATGCAGACCCAGATGTGTGCGTACAAAGCTGGGGGATGTTTTCCAGAGTTTTTGTTTGCCACTTTAGGTGTGTTTCATATGGGTAGCGGAGCCTTTATGGAAGCGAAGGGCCTCATAAATACATTATCACTCAGATGGCAAACACTGAAGGCTCCACTGAATCCATCTGAGGCGAGGGAGTGAGGGAAGGAGTGTGTGTGTGTGTGTAGGTATGGGTGTATTAGTGTATTAGGAAAAGTAATAGGGTGCCATAAGAAGGTCTCTGCCTGTGCATTTTAATATCTTTCCAGAGTTAACTGCACACACAAACACACACACACACACACACACACACACACACACACACACACACACACACACACACACATGTCTCAGTTGTTCCTGCTCTGTGACTGCAGGCATGCACACACACCACATCTGCATACACCTGCATGCGTGTAGTCGTGGACGATCTGACCCTGATAAACCTTCTCTGGCTCACTAATCTCTTCTTCTGTCACACACACACACACACACACACACACACACACACAAGTTGAGTGGCTTTTCTTCCGCATCATGACCAGCGCTCTCTATTGACACATTTTAATATTTCATGAGTGTATTTTTAGATATCCATTGGAGGCATGCGCAGGCTGCTACACTCACACACATGCACAATCCCCAAATAGCTGCAAACACATTCACATACACTCAGATTAACATGCACAGTGATGATCATCGCCAGGATGAAGACACGAATCTGCTCAGCAGCTTGAGTGAAGGTGCAGATTTTGCAGCTGTGCGCGTGTGTCTTGCAGGTGTGTGCCTACATATCTTTTTAATGTATGTGCATAATTATGTGTATGATGCTTCTTCTCAGGCTTGTATGCGTTTGGCTGTGTGTCCATTTGCTTGTGTGTGTGAAACGGAAATATTTTAACCAACTGCTCCTTTTTGTTTAGATTTGTTTAACCACAATGAAAGAAAACCAACAATGTACCATTCGCTGGCATATCTTTGCAGATTTACAGCTCAAAGTTCTCAGTCGTTTCTGAAACAATGGGTGCTTGATTTCAGACACAAGTGGACAAAGACAAACCTTCCGCTGACATTCCCTGGAAAATGTTATCAGCTGTAGCTAGCTAGCTAATTAAGCTAACGTTAGCGCCATGAGTTGGACAAAAATCCTGTCTGTGGTTGTCTTCATCACTGTTTTCAAGTGCTTCATTTTAAAATGAGAATCCTGTGAAAGGTTTCTAAACAGGCACTTGATGGCTGCATACATGATATTGTGCTAACGATGAACCATGGCCCAAGCTAAAAGGCGCGTAGCAACAGTAGAGGACAGAAAAAGAAACATCAGTGTTCTTGTATTGGAGTGTCGGATTAGCATCTTAAATATGATGGGAAAAAATGTCACATCAGATTATTTCTTTTGAACATAACCCTGTTGGAAATGATATCGCTGACGTTTGATGTTACAAGAGAAAGCTTTTAGGATGAGGGCTACCTGAAGTGTGTTTGGCAAATGGAACGCTATCTTGGGTAACATTGGGGTTGCTGGAGGGTAAACTTCCCCAAACACAATAAAGAGTGCAGTGGAGATAGCGTGGGACAGAACATGATGAATGTCTATGTAAGCATATAATATTATAATTGTTATTTGTGGTTTAATTTAAATTTTACAGACATTTGTCGGGACTCACACATCCAGCTTGCAACCAGGACACTCCCAGAGAAACCGGGACAGTCTGGTTGGACTTAACTTTTCTTACCAGAACCTGTTAACCCACAAACTAATGACCTCCTCTTGGCTTTGACAGTAAGACTGTGTTACTACTGCAGTAAGGTAGGCCAGTAAGCTGGTTAACAGGACATGCTATGCCCTATGCACACCACTTTGACAGTAGAGAAACCAACACTGCGGTGCCTCTATGGCTGCTAAGCTATGATTGGACAACCAGTGTTTGGGGGGAGGTTGAGATAAAGGTATTTTAAAGCAACATTATTTTAGCTCTCTCTTTCTTGCAAATGTTTCTTATCCACTCATTCTGTTTCTTGCTTTCTTCTTTGTCTCTCTCTCTCTGTCTCTTGCTTGCACATTCGTTCTTTTTACATCTTTTTTCACTAGTCAGGTGGTCAGTTACATAACTGTTATTTAAACATCAAAAACATCAAAGGACATTACCATTCCCAGCGTTGCATGCATGCATGTGTGTGTGTGTGTGTGTGTCTGTGAGTGCGAGTGCTTAGCATGTGTGCATAAACAGCTTATGTGTTTTTCTTGATGATTCTCGCCTCATGTGTGATTATATGCGCATGCCTGTCTGTGTGCGCACATTTATGGCTTTATTTGCCTGTATACTTGCCTGTGTGTGTGTGTGTGTGTGTGTGTGTGTGTGTGTGTGTGTGTGTGCGCATGTATGTGTGCGCATGTGTGTGTGCGCCTCCCCTCTCTGCACTGTGAACAGCAGGCCAGCTGACACCTCAGCGAGGATGGATTAGCATATCAAACTACTGGCACGACTCCGCATGTCTCCTGACAGCTACCTCTCTCCCATGGGGTCGACTATACAAGAGACATGGGTATCATCCCCGGGACCAAATGAAAAAAGCTGAGAGCAGGGCAGAGAGAGGCACAGGGAGTTGTTCAGGATCTCACTGAGAGCTCTTATAAACAGCTTCTTTACACTGTGGAATTAATACACCAGTACCTGTGAAACTTTTTCTCTCTCTCTGAGTCCAGTTCTATCGAGGCTTATTTAAAGCTGCTACCAGGGAGAGAAGACATATTTCCCCTTTAGAAGTTCATGGAGACCAAAACACTGCGAGGAGAGTAACTACTGGACTTATTGGGTGGACAGAAACACAACTCCAAACGAATGCCAATGTAGCCCCAAGTCTGCTGGATGTGTAAATAGGCCACTTTTTGCTAACAAACCTCAAGCCAATGAAACCTTTTGTATTTGGTCTGGTAACCAGAAGCTTGAAAAAATCTTGTGTAGCAAAGAAAAAAAGGATTTATTTAAAGATTGAAATTGTGTTTGATATAAACTGAAGTTAGCATGAGCATAAACATTCACTATTAGTGAACAGACAAAGAAAAAGCTGCGTAACCCGCAGACAATGAAATCTCATCAATAGAAAATCCAAGGAAATACAGAAAAGTGGTATAGATCTTGTGGATCATCACTCTTAAGGCAGATTTATATTTGCACGTAGGCTCTATGCTGTAGCCTACGCAAGTGACCTACGCCGCTGTGTGTACTTCAAACGATGGCGACTGGAACTGAAACCCTCCGTCTCTCTACAATCTGTCTTGTGCTTTCCTCGTTTCCTTTTTTGGAAAACGAAAGGACGAGGGAATACAAGGGGAAAGACAAGAGCATGTCATGCGGCAAGCTAGTGTCCCATGTGGGCCTGTTTGTGTGTGTGTGTGTGTGTGTGTGTGCGTGTGGACACACTTATCTGAGAATGTGTGTGTGTTTGGAGAGGGATTCTCAAACAGCATTATTAACTCATCTGGGTTTTGCATGAGTTGCCTCCCATTCTCAGACAATGCACACACTCCAAGCGGACCAATCACAGTTGTCTGTGTTGCTGCAACGTGTAGACATTTCTGGGGGAGGTGCACGTCAGCATACGGCGTAGAGGTACGAGGCTATGCCATACCCACGGTGTATAAATCAGGCTTTATACATTATACTTGTACTTCAAATTATTTTATTTTGTCAAGTAGCACTTTTGAAAAATGTGATGAAATCTAATGAAAGACAACATCTTGTTCAGCCTTTGAGTAGAACATCCTAATCAGAGCAAGTACTCGAGTGAACAAATTGATCTCACAGGCTTGATTAAATTTTAAAATGGACCAAATCATCTTCTTTTTAGTATTTATTCAAAGGACTGAACACACTCTGTTCAATACAATATTGTTCACTAGTGTTATACTGCAGTACAGGCTGGCTTTGTACAGAGCATTTGCTTGGTGAATTCACACACATTCAACAGGTTAATCAGCCAAAACCTGCAGTCTCCAGCTCTGTAGAATATCCATCCCCGCAGGTCTTTGATTGTATTTCGCCCATTCTCTTCTAAGCCATCGTTCTCGGCTCTCTCACTAGAGAAAACTACCAGGAGAAATCGTTTTTTCTCATCCTCCTTTACAAAAACCCTCTTAATCATAACATTGGCCTTACTGTCTCCTGTAGAAGTGTCCTGGGAGTCCAAGATGCCTGATTCCTGGAGCGATCGGATGCAGGAGTCCACCAGCTCCAGGCCTGTCGTCAGCTCCTCTTCTATGTCCTTCTGTCCATCTACAGATGGGAAAAAACACGAGTTGAAACAACAATACAGCCTCTTCTGCCACCTCAGGATTGGTTCTCCAAACCTCTACACTGTGGCACGGGACACAAGCCACATGTATGGCTGGATTAACCCAATAAGGGACCCTGTAAAAATGAGCTATGGGCCCCCTCTGCCCCTCCTATTCCTGCGACTATACTTGGCAGCTTCATTATACTTTGCCTGCAGCTCCAGATACCAACCAGGGATTCTATCATGGGAGTTGAAGTTTGCAGTATGTGCTATTAATATGTGGTAACACAAATTTATTGAAGGCGATGCCTTGTAAATGCTATATGAACTGAAATAGTAAAGGTCATAACCGTTTGAACCCCATCATTTAGCAGATCATCATGCAGATTCACTAAAGTATATTTAGATATGAACTATATTTACTATTGGAAATAGTGATAAATACTAACAAATTATACTTTTACAAACTTTAAAATGAAGTCAACAATCAACTACATTTCTCCAGAATAATAAAACCTTGGAACTCTCTTCTCTATCTATTCATACACAGATATTTACTTTACTATGTCTGAAAACCTGCGGACATGCCGGCATGGTAAATGTAAATGAAAAAAAACATCCATAGATTCAAAGGTACAAAACACAGCCTTCAGATTACAATTGCAAAGAATTATTTTCATTATTGTTTAATCAATGGGTTGTTTGGTAAAAAAAAAAAAATAAGTGAAAAATGTTGATGAATTTTTCCCAAAGCCCAAGGTGACGTGCCTTATTTTGTCCATAACACGAATATATTCAGTTGTCTGTCATAGGAGACTGAAGAAACCTCGAAGCATTCACATTTGAAAAACTCAAATCAGAAAATTTTGACATTTTTTTCTCAATTGATTACCGAAACAATTGGAGACTAATTCAATAATGGACAAATAATTGATTAGTGAACTAATCACTGCATCTTAACATCAGATTAGGTAAAATCTACACTTTAAGGCTTTGATCATTGATGAATTTGTAGCACATTTTGTCAAACCAGAGATTTTGTTGCCTGCCTTGTGCAGTTGGTAATCCTGCCATGGCCACACTGACTGCCCACTTTTGCTTATCCTGCTACATCTCACCCATTAAAGTACAATCAGACCTTAGAGTAATGTGTCAGGCCGAGGGTCAAGGGTAAAAACCTAACTGACAATCCAGTTACAAATCTTGTGGGATCTGGGTCTATGGGGCGCCGCCTTGTACTTAGATACCAAACCGTTTGTCTGTCAGAGCGAGGCTGATAACATGCCCAGTGTCTTCAAGTTAGAGAGGGCTGCCAAGGAGGATAAAACCTTACAAATGAGTCTTAGGAGCAACATTAATCTCTTATCGAGAGAGAGAGAGAGAGAGAGAGAGAGAGAGAGAGAGAGAGAGATGGTAATAGTAGAGGCCTTAGTGAGTGGATTTAGGAGGCTGATTTTATTGACTTCGACTGACGCAACTGCAGACTGATGATGCTGATGCTGTTGGTGAAACATTTCCAGTGCTGTCTGCGGCATCACGCTGGATTTACTCTCACCCTCACACACACAAGCCAAAACTCATTTTTAAACCTGCTTGATCCAGAAGTGATGGGTTTTTAATGATTTGTGGGTGATGACGAGATCAAAAGGTCTGATTGGAGTGAGGGAAGGTTTTCCTTTTTTTTGGCAACAGAGTAAATTTAGTCTTCCTGGGGCCGAGTGGTCAGTGCAACAGATGGATGAAGACCACAGCACACACTGAAAGCCTTCAGTATGATGTGTTCTGACCACAAACCTTCAGCCACCTCTTTGTTGGCAGAGGTCACCAACCGTGCACTCAGATAATCAATCTACTCTCAACGCCCTTTACAGCTCAACATGACTGACAAAGAGGGAGAGACAGACCTAAGTGTTATGCATGGGTGGAGTTTCTTCAACTAAAATGCTGTCAAAGAAGTTGTCAAGCCCAGAGAGGTGTCCTCATTTGACTTTCAAATCATCGAAAGGCCTCGCACTCATTGATTCTTGTTTCCTCCTTTGTGGAAAACACTTCCCATCTGGCTCTCCAAACAGGTTAAACGAAACGCTGAGCATTATTTGTAAATGCTGTTTGACCTTTACTCAGCTGTCAGAAGGGGTGAGGCGTAGTGAGGGAATTTGAGAGACGGGAGTTTTTTGTTGGCACAAGTCTCTTTTTTTGCAGGTTTCAGTGCAGAGAGTAAGTTTGATTGAGCATTTTCACTGCGGCAGCCACCATAGTTCTTGTACAGGATTGCATCAATATATTGTTGGTGCATGATGGGGGATTTTTACAATGGCTACAATTGAAATGAGCATAGTCAGCAATGTGCATTGCCGGAATGCAAACAATAGAGGACCAGACAAATTGTACTGAAAAGTATTTAAAGGGAAATATTACCTTGGTTGTTCCAGCGAAATTTCTCATCTGCTGAACTGTAAGAGACAAACAACAGAAAGCAAACAGGGTTAGAAATATAAGCAAAACTCACATTATACAAACTTTTGTTGTTTATTAGTGTACTAGCAGGACAATTTTACACTGTAACAGCATTTCCATCAGCCTTACATGCCATAAAATGTCTCTTTTCCATCAAAATCCTCTTTATAGTATCACAATAAAACAGGAACACCATGGAAACACTGGTTTGAAGAGTTTTATATCACTGCATATCACCTGGTGAAAACTTTAAATCTCCATTGGAAGCTTTCTCATGTTTTACCTTCAGCTGAGGGATGACAAACAACAAAGCCCTGAGGTTTGGTAAAATTCTGCAAGACCTTGGGGATAAAGACCTTTATCAAAACCAACAAGATCCGCACTCCAAAATACATTGTTGTCAAACTAAGAACCTGGCTGTTTTTTAAGTTTCTCTTGGAGAAACAAGGATTTTTATCCAACAAAAGTGTTATCCTTATCCTGTCATAGAAAAGATTTTGGGGAGCACAAAGGGCTTTGAGATAAAAAAATGTTTCTGAAAGGGTAGTGAGTCGCTGCTAAGAAACAGAAAACATCAGTTTTAATTAGGCTGGGAACGAGGAAAGAGTTACAATATGACAGCGTACTGAAACAATACAGAAAGAGCAAGGACAAATATTAAGATGTGTAATGTGCTACTGTATAGTGACCGTAGAAGATACACAGTGACTCTTTGCATAAGTACGATATCAATCAGTTCTTTTCAGTTTAAGGGTTAGTCGTATAACCGGCTGTACTTAACAAATGAGAAACACTTGAAACGTGGCTTCTTTGCTACTCAGATAACACAGAAATACAGTTTGATGTTTGTGCATACTTTGTATTGATGGATGTAAAATGCACGTAACTAATTTACTATTTAAAAATACTTAATGACTGAAAATAAATTCATTACTAACATTTCTGGACATTACAACACAAGCTATCACAACTTACAGTAACTCATAAAGACACAAAGTCACAACCCCCCCCTTTCAAAATCCTGCAGTTTAATTTAACCTTGCTTAGGGCAATCATTCTGAACCTTGTTAAGCCTTCTACAACTCAATTTTAGTTTTTGTGCCATGTTGTTAGTTTGGCACTTATTTGAAACATTAATCCTAAAAATGGTGTTTGGTATTGTTCATGTTTACAACCTCTTTCATGCCTTCTTACCCTTACCTACATGTAAACAAATGGCAGCTGTCTACAATGTTAGCCGACCCTGAAATAACCAAAATGCAGATCAACATCATGCCCAGGCCTCATCTCTATATACACTGTAGGAGTGGAACCACTGCCATTATTTACCCACTTTACTGTCTGACAAGGAACAATGCTTACAGTGGGCCTACGCCTGGGGCACTGAATAAAAAGATAAGTGTGTTTCTAAAGTACACAATATCGTCAGTCTTACGCTTTGTGTAACTTTTGAGATCTCGATTTCCAGATATTTTCCGCTTGTGCTCTGATGCAGTATTTACTATGATGCGAATGTGGGAGACACATCTGACCTGTAATGACCACTACGAAGCTGAAACGGGTACAACGATAGGATACACCTTTTCACAGCCAACATTTTAATGGAAGAGGAAGGCGTGAGTTGTTAATTGTTAGTCAGGGCTCCAGTTGGAGCTTCACTGACATATGTTCAATACTGTTTATCCACATGTGATGATTCTTCTGCTGCTGATTTACCCCTTACTCTTTATATACATGATGGAGTTGTCATTTTTCTCTGAAATCATTTGTCAGACAAGTGCACGGTTGTAAAAAACTGCTTGATTGAATTTCTAAAAAAGCTAATAGCACTGTCAAGTCACACTCTACCTGCTGCTGTCTGCAGCTCAGATAACTTTTATTTTTTTTACCAGGGTAACAATCACACCACCTTGTTTAGCTCAACTGGCTAAAGCTGGGACAGTCACTAAGGCAGATCAATCCCAACGAGCTAACCTTAGCCACCCTGCTACAACCCAAGCCACAAAATGTTATAGTGTAAGTTGACCACAGGCACAGCGCAGTACGGATAATTAACCGCCAACCAGTATAGCACGTCACTGCTGTGTGTCTTTATATAATGACACATTCCAAAGCCCTACACATTGCATATACCTGTATCATACACTCCTAACAAGCTGCGACACTTTACATAAAAGCGTCAGCGCTAAGTTGCGTTTAGTGCTCCTCTGATGAGCACTTGATTTGAGTATATGAAAAAAGCAATGCGTCCACTTCTGCAGCCTGTTGAATCCGACAGTCTCGAGAGGCTTGAGTGCTGCATTAAAACGCATTTCAGACCGGTGGATGACCAACCACTTGTTAACGAAATGGCGATAGTCGAAGGTTGGTTACATGCTACCTCCTGCGAGGCTCCGAAGTGGAAAACTAGAAAATAAATCACAATGACTTGTTCATGCGTGATAATGTCTGCAATATATGCTATGAAGCTAGAACCAGCAGGTTATTAGCTTAGCTTAAAGACAGGAAGCTGGATCTGTCCAAAGTTATAAAAAATGTGTCCACAAGTTGTGGTTTTAAGGGGTGGACTTCTGTGGCTAAGTTAGCTTATTTCACACTATCTTCCAGTCTTTATGCTGAACCAGACGCCTGCTGGTTCGAGCTTTCTATTCAGCGCTCAGATGTGAGAGTGGTATCAATTTTCTCATCTAACACTCAAGAGGGCTAATATGTCTATTTCCCAAAAATGTGAAACTATTTATCAAAGACCTTTGCTAAAAAAAAAAACAGCAATAACGTGAGGGTATCATCACCAGTGGTTCTTCAAATATTGACCAACGAATATCAGGTAGCAATATTTTCTCTTCTTAATATTGCTGCATGATTCAAAATGAAAAGCATTTTTGTACGAAATCGTCCGTATCTATAACCCAAAGACTCCACAGCCAAACATAGCAATGGATGCTATTCACTCCCTGCAGACACAGAACAGATGCTATTAAATCATCCCATTGATTACCTCCATTCTCTGTGTGTGTGTATGGGGTGTGTGACGGATTGTGAGGGAGAGCCAAGCGGTACATGTTAATGGGACCCTCTGTCAGCAAAACGGACTCCTCATTCATCAGCCGTTATTAAACCAAACAATACACCCCCACATGTGTGCGCACACACACACACACACACACACACACACACACACACACACACACACACACACCAACAAGCTATACACAGCACACACTGGATACACAAAGGAGGAACACAAAATGTATCACACAAAGCAAGGGAGCAGAGAGCACATGAACCCGGGTGTCTTGGAGGATGAAGTGTGTTTATATCAGACACACACACACACCTTGGATGGAGCGGGATGATGGGGATTATTATCACCAGTCTGGGTTCAGACAGCCAGTACTGATGACAGTGGCTGAGTCAATATTTTCTTAAAGGGCAGGACACACTGGTCCTCTCATTCTGTTCCTGCATTAGCTGGTGTCAAAATGTTGCCTCTACTCTTGGTAATGCCTGGGTTGAGGTCTTATGTACCAATGCCCAGGATGTGATACAGGAAAACTAAATGCAAGCTGAGTGCTCAGATAGAAACCTTGCTGGAAACTGCAAGGAAAGAGGCCAAATGGTGTTACCATCAAGAGGTAACATCAACAGGGGCTGGAGCTGGAATATGAAACAATCCAGAGGGTTTCAGATTTCTCTCTGAGCTGGTGGGAAATATCGGAATCAGTTCATGTTATCAGGGGGATCAAAACAGACCAGAGCAGACTAGACAAGATAAGGCTGGTGGAAAGCAGGAAAAGAGAAGAGAATTAGATCAGGATATAAGAGAATCTTGGAGGAAAAGATGCTAAACTAGACTACGCTACAGCAGAACAATCCTCAATCTAACACAGTTGGTTTGGATTATGAATCAGAGTCAGGGTTTGATCACTGGGTGGAAAGAGACAACTAGATTTCTTCTCTTTAGCCTGCGATTCAGCTCAATAAGCTCAGCCTTTTGCTATGTATCAATTAGTGAAAAAGCAATTAGTTGATTTATCATTCACATAGATTAACAGGAAATTAGCTGTAATTTGGCACAGTGGTACTTGGAGCTAATTGTTAACAATATTGGCAATGTTAACATCCTAATGTTAAGCAGGTATAAAATACCATGTTCACTGGCTGATGGCATTGTCATTAGTCTTGCAGTTTTTTGGCCATAAACCAAAGTATCTGGCAAATTGAAATTGTGATCATGGTGTAAGATGACAACTAAGGGGATCACCAAAGTCCTTAAGATTCATTCACAGCCCCATGAATGGTCCATGTCATCCAATAGTTGTTGGGTTGTTCTGCTTAAAACCACACATTTCTACCCAATGATGTGGCACTAGAGGAAAAGTTAGGGGTTTACCAGAGTCACTAGAATATCTGAGTATCATAGAAATCCATCCAATAGTTGTTGAGATATTTCAGACTAAAGGTGTGGACCAACTTCCTGTACTGACTCACAAATGAGATCCTTTTTCTATTTTATAGTGTTGTAGGATGAAAATCTTTTGGTTTTGCAGTGTTAGTTAAACAAAACAAACAATTTCGAGATGTGATTTGGGATTCTCCAAAATGGTGATGCAGATTCTTCAATAATTTTGGTGGTTCTGGAATTAACCCAACAACCTTACATTACCACCTGAACGACAGCCATCCTCTTTTCTTCTCTTCCTCTCTGTCCACACAAGCATGCCCTCCTTTTCCTCCCTGTGGCCACCAGGTACATCTAATCAGACCTCAGTATCTGAAACAGCTCATTGACCTCTTGGCCCAGGAAACACAGAGAGTTAGTGTTCTTTCCCATCGAATCTCTATGGCGCGTCAACGGGATGTGACAGTATAATTAGTGGACCGAGAGAGAACTAATTGACGGCGTGATCAACTCGCCTGCTGCAGGTCACGCCATGGCATGGCACTTCATCACCGCTAATGATATAATGCTGTGTGCATGTACGTGCACAGCAGC